TTCCAGCTTTCTAAGGAAGTGCCGTATTGTTTTCCAAAATGGTTATATCATTTTGCATTCCCACCAGCAGTGCATAAGAGTTATGTTGCCTCTGCAACATTTGTTACTTTCCATTTTTTTGATTCGTGCCAATAATGCCAGGGTGAGATGGTATCTCATTGTGGTTTTGATTTGCATTTCTCTCATGGCTGGTGATCACGAGTATTTCCTTATGTGTCTGTTGGCTGCTTGAATGTCTTCTTTGGTGAAGTGTCTGTTCGTTTCCTTTGCCCATTTTTTAATTGGATTATTTGTCTTTTTGTTGTAGAGGTATTGGATTTTCTTGTAGATTTTAGAGATTAGTCCTTTGTCTGATTTGTAATAACCAAAATTTTTTCCCCAGTCTGTAGGTTCTCTTTTTACTCTTTTGGTGAAATCTTTTGAAGAGCATAAGTGTTTACCTTTTTGAAGATCCCAGTTATCTAGCTTATCTTCTGGAGCTTGTGTGTTGTTGGTTATGGTTTGTATCCTGTTAATGCTGTGTATTAGGGCCTCTAGTGTTGAGCCTGTTTTTTCTTCTATGAACTTTATAGTTTTTGGTTTTATATTTAGGTCTTTGATCCGTTTTGAATTAGTTTTTGTATATGGTGTGAGGTATGGGTCCTATTTAATTTTTTGGCATATGGCCATCCAGTTTTGCCAGCACTGTTTGTTAAAAAGACTGTCTTTTCCCCATTTGATGGACTTTGGGCCCTTGTTGAAGATCAGGCAACTGTACGTGGATGGATTTACATCTGGGTTCTCAGTTTCATTCTGTTGGTCAATGTATCTGTCGTTGTACCAGTACCAGGCTGTTTTGATTACTGTAGCTGTATAGTAGGTTCTGAGGTCAGGTGGTCATTAGAGATTTTTTGAAGCCAAATCTGTCACTGTTATGGCTCACTGGCTGACACCCAAAGGTTTCTACTGGCTGTCGTATCCATTCTATCTGGTCCAGAATTTTGAGCCTGCCTGAAGTTTCCAGTCCCGTTTTTGGTAGTGTGGCATAATCTCTGAAAGGTCTCTTTAAAATGAAAGGGTGTTACCTTGGTGGGAAGTTCATTAACCCAGCTGTACTCACTGACATGGAATCTCTGGGTGGTGCAAATGATCAAGCGCTCGACTACCAGCTGAAAAGTTGGTGGTTCAAACCCACTCAGAGGTGCCTACAAAGATAGGCCTGGTGATTTGCTTCCAGAGAGTTACAGCCTTGAAAACCCTATGGAACAGTTCTACTCTGCACACATGCATTGCCATGAGTTGGAATCGACTCAACAGCAACTAATGACAACACATTGTTAGCTTGGATCCTCCATTGCACTTGCTAGTGGAGAAATAGATAGGTCCCTGACAACACTGGTACCAGAGTGGTACATTTTGGTGGAGGTTGGTAGTTGGGGGAAGGGAGGGCTGGGATCTGAGAACTGGCATTGACTGGGAATGGCAGATTAAGTGAATGGCAGTAGAAGAGGCCATGACTATGAGGGAACTAGGTGTTTGGAAAGAAGGGAGATCAGAGGAGAAAGCAGAGAGCATAAAGAGAGGTATATGGCACCAAAGACAGTCCTCATAGTTTTGCACTGGGATCTGCTATGGCTGTGTTCTGTGAGATGACCTTTGCTTCTTTTCCTCTTTAAATGGAGAGGAAGAAATAGATCCTAATCTTGGCAGGTCCCTGAGTTGTCAGAATTAGTCCAGCATGTTTTGGGTTCATAATCCTTATTTGGTCCCATTCTTTTTCCAAGTAATAATTGGGTTTGGTCTTAGAAATGAATTGACACATGAATCTGCCTATTTCCCCCATGTCTTATTTGATGCAAGATGAAAGCTGAACACAGAATTGTGCCTAGGAATTACTGAACCTTGATAAGGAAGCAAATAGGTCAGCTTTGGAGTAATTTTGATGCTGCAAATATTTGAAGCCTTGCTGTATTTAGAATGTATATTCAACATTCTGTTTTCTCCCTCCATTCCCGTGCTCATTGTTGTGTAGACACTGAAGTCACTTTGGCATTATGGGGTGGTTGGTGCATGAGTTGGAATTGACTCGACAGCAACAGGTTTTTGGCTGCAGGGCATGGGAGACAGGACTCGTTGTACTGGGTCGTGGGTTCTGGGAACAATACTGGCCCCACCGCAGACTCTAATGACCTATAATAAGTGTTGTTAATCTTCTTACAGTCTGCCTTACAGAGTTTGGGAGGATAAATGAGGTAATGTCTATTTAGATCTTTGAGCTTCTCGGAAGAATGGCACACTACAGTAATGTGATTTCCTAATGCATTTGTTTATGTTGTAATAGCATATAATTCGGTTTATCTAAAGTTCTTTAGGTGCTTCTAGAATATTTAACTATCTTGCACAGGGAAAGCAGCCCAGCTTTGAGAGTGGGAACTGTACCTAGATTAGAACCCTCAAAGAATATTCAGCCAAGTGAGCCAGCTCTAGATTTATGAGGTTAGGGGAAGGAAGTTGGGAGAGGAAGTAATAGGAGCTAGATTGGGTGGTGTTGGAGAAAGAGAGTTATAGTTCTTTTCAGAGTTTCTATTATAGTTATAAATATTGTTGTTTTACTAAGGATCAGTATATTCTCAATTTTTTAAAAAATATAAGTTTATTTGAATAAATAAACAGTATTACATGTTGAATGACTCATCTGCACCACCGATCCTGCAGTCTTTGTCTGTAACTGGCGTTATTGTTGTTAGGTGCCATTGAGTCAGTTCCAACTCATAGCGACCCTGTGTACAACAGAACAAAACACTGCCCAGTCCTGTGCCATCCTCACAGTCGTTGCTGTGTTCGAGCTCATTGTTGCAGCCACAGTGTCCGTCCATGTTGTTGAGGGTCTTCTCTTTTTCGCTGACCCTCTGCTGATAGACTCTTTTAACCTAGCCCCCTTAAATATTTACTTTATCATGTTCCTTGAGCCACAGCCTGGTTGTTTAATATCTTGTTTCTGATTCCGATGCCAGCAGTTCCATACAAACACTAACAGACTTACAGGGTTCATTTTTAAAATACATAGTAGGCTACTAAATAATGCTTTATTTTTGTTCTGCAGATAAAGGAGTAATAAATAAGTTGTTTTTGCTGAAACAGTCATGAATAGTCCAATCTTTTGCATACCCTTTAGAGCAGAATTACAATTGAGTTGGCTTTCTAGCTGGTTCGAAAAAGAGAAGTTAAAACAACGGATGAAAAGTGGGGAATGTATACACATGTGTCATCTCTGACATTACTATAAAGATGTAATTTGTATTGCAATTATCTGAATTGGACAGTTTTGCTATAGAAGTTTCTAGAAGCTGTTGGTTCTTTGGAATCTCCAACCCAGTATTTCAAAAAGAAGTCAGTCTTCTATAAAGAAATTTTAAGTAACTACTGAGTTTATCTGGGGAAAAAAAAATTCTCTTTCAGACAGCTGACTATACATACTTTTTTAAGAGTAACTAACTTGAATTTTTAGAGCAATAATACTAATCATATGTCTTTCTCTAGGGGTGGAATACTGTTACATTTCATTTGCTAAATTATAGAACATAATGCAGAGAGAACGAATCTGTCACCTGACATGAAAAAATAAATCCCTGCCAGACTGTGTGTTTATGTGTCTACATTTTGTTCCATGAACATACGAAGAAAGTCACCTTGTTTGTTTCACAAATTAAGAACCGTGTCTTATATAAGGAAATTATATAGAATACTATGCAACTGCTGCTTAAAAAAAAATTAATATTTTATTAAAAACATATGATTCAGAGATATAGTTCATATGAAGTTAAATTGTGGGTAATCTTAATAGAACCACATTTTCTCTTCTTGACAGTTCACTACAGTTTGCCTGAGCATTTCTGAATGTTAAATTTATGTTCTTATGTAAAACTTCATGATAAATTTATGAGTTTCTGCCATTATGTATGAATGTAGCCAAGGCATACTTTTTAAAAAAAAACATTGAAATGTTTACTGTTTATATTGATCCGTTGTAGATTACAATTTGATGTTTCATTTGAATGTTTTTCAGAATCGAAGCAAACGCTTGGAGAAAGTCCATGTGGTTATTGGACATAAATCATGTGACTTGGATTCTCTCATTTCTGCCTTCACATATGCTTACTTTCTAGACAAGGTGAGGGGAAGAAAAAGATTATGCTTCTTATATTTGAATTATTTCATAATTTTTAAGAACATTTTCTGGAAAATGAAAGAGCCCATCAACTTAATTTTTCATGTTCGGGTTTATTGTTACAGAGAATAAAATATTACAGTCCATTAATCAACAGATATTTATTGAGCACCTACTAGATGTTAGGAATTGTTCTAGTTATTCCTTAATGACTCTCTTCATAAAACATTGTTTCAATATGATTAATGTTGTCAAATAAAAAAATTTTATTTGCTTAAAATTAAATTTTTATGGGAATTAAGAGAGCTAACGAAAGTAAGGGTCAGAATTTTTTGTTTTTCTTTTCTATTCTTGGATATCCGTATCTTTATGCAAATAACGTGTGCCTTCTATTTTGTTTACCAACTGCACCCTCCCCCCAACGAGGTATTTTTGTAAGCACACTATGCTAATTTTGTAAGCAACATATGATAGTCTAGCCCTTGGGTGTAGAAAAATATGTGCAGAATAAACTGCATGACGATTACATGAAAGACAGAGTGTATTGACTGGAATTTTCAGTAACAGAGCCATTACATGTCCAATCTGTATTCTATAAGCCCTTGTTTTGCTTTGCCGGTTAGCCCTAACTGTTCAGCAAGGCAGTTCTCAGTTAGTGAGAGTTTCCCTTGAGCAAGAATCTTTCTACTCTGTGAAGTATATGGCATGTCTGTTCTGTTGTTGCTGTGTACCATCAAGTCAATTTTGACTCGTAGCGACCCTATAGGACAGAGTAGAACTGTCCCACAGGGTTTCCTAGGCTAGAATCTTTATGGGAGCAGATCTCCAGGTCTTTTCTCCTGAGGCATTGCTGGTGGGTTCCAGCTGCCAACCTTTTGATTAGCAGCCAAGTGCTTAACCAGTGCGCCACCAGGGACTCCTTATGGCATGCTTATAGGTTGAAGGAGCCCTGGTGGTGCAGTGGTTAAAAGAGGTGGAAAGACCCCTCAGTAAATTGTTTTAAAAGTTCCATCCCATAAAATTCATCAGCTTATACAGTTGTACCCTGACACACATGGGCCACCGTGAGTCGGAGGTGACTCTTACGGCAACTGGCTAGGTGACTAGTGGCCCCACCACAACTGTAGGGTTGAGAAAAGTGAGGAGCAGCCTCCCAAAGAATTTGCCAAGCCAAGATTTGTTTTTCTTGTGATTGGTGAATTATTTCTCCATCTATTTGCAATAATCACAGATTATTTGGTTTTCCTTTTGTCATCTTATTGGATGGTTTTTGTTTATTTTTAATGCTACCTTGGCTTTTCTTTTTTTTTTTTAACTATTGCTATGGACAGAACTTTGCTTCTCTTTTCCTAGTACTTCATATGCTACACCATCTATTTTTAATCTAGTAATGGTTACTTTTAAGGTCCAACAACTTAACGTTATTGTCCTGGATTGAATTGTGTTCCCCCAAAATGTGTCAACTTGGCTAGTCCGTGATTCCCCGTATTATGTGATTGTCCACCATTTTGTCATCTGATGTGATTTTCCTATGTGTTGTAAATCCTATGGTGTTAATGAGGTGGGATTAGCAGTAGTTATGTTAATGAGGCAGGACTCAATTTACAAGATTAGATTGTGTTTTAAACCAATCTCTTTTGAGATATAAGAGAGAGAAGTGAGCAGAAACACATGGGGCCCTTTACTACCAAGAAACAAGAACCAGGAGAATAGTGTGTCCTTTGGACCTGGGGTCTGTGTGCTGAGAAGCCCTGCCACCGGGGAAGATTGATGACAAGGACCTTCCCCCACAACTAGGAAAGAGAAAGCCTTCCCCTGAGATAGCACCCTGAATTTGGACTTCTAGCCTTCTAGACTGGGAGAGAATAAATTTCTCTTTGTTAAAGCCGAAAAAAGAAGAAAAAAATTCATCAGCTCATGATAATAAATCTAACCAAACCCGTTGCTGTCAAGTCGATTCTGATTCATAGCAACTCTATAGGACAGAGTAGAACTGCCCTATAGGGTTTCCAAGGAGTGGCTAGTGGATTTGAGCTGCCGACCTTTTGGTGAGCAGCTGTAGCTCTTAACCACTGCGCCACAGGGTTCTAATACTTCACCTTAAAGTCTAAACAAAGTACAACATGCGTGTTTGGGTGCTATTTTCAATTCATCAGAATTTTTCATTTCTGGAGTCTGATTTGTTTTATTCCAATTTTACTTGGATCCTTGGCCTCATATGCATAGCCGATCTACAGAGATTTAAATTCGCATGAAAACTAGTCTTCCAGAATGAGCTGTGGGAGGCAAGAACTGCTTTAGGGCAGCAGCTGACAAAAATGCCGGGTGTAATATTCTCATCTCTCCATGTGGGCTTTATATCAAATTTATCTTAAAATTTGTTGAACTTTACAAGGGAGATTAATTGGTATGAGGAGATAAATGTGTTATGTCAGACATGCATATAAAACGGTGATCTTGTTAACTGGATTTTTTTGACTCACTAGAAAAAAAATATTGCCAATCTAGAGAATATAGTTAATTAAACAAGATTGATTTTTTTACACTGATAGTGGCATGGACTTTTAAGGAAATTATATACTACTACTACTAATAACAATAACAACAACAATGTCTTGAATAGATATAATGACATCGAACCAAAGCAGTGGGGAAAGTAGTTGTGATAGATTAAATAGATGATAATAACCAATCAGTTGCCATTGAGTCAACCCGACCCATGGCGACTCCATGTGTGTTAGAGTAGAACCGTGCACCATAGGGTTTTCAACGGCTGATTGTTTGGAAGTAGATTTCCAGGCCTTTCTTCCTAGGTGCCTATGAGTGGACTGGAACTACCAACATTTTGGTTAGTGGCTAAGTATGTTAAACCATTCGCACCATCCAGGGGCAAAAGTATATGATAGATGGATAAAAATAACAAAATGTGTGGCTTCTCTTCTCTTCTAAGTCTTGCTACTAAGCATGGAGACAAATATGGAATTACCAAAGGGTCAGGTACTGAAATTTATTATTATTTCTGTGCCTTCTTCATAGTTTATTGGGCCTGGTCCCCCTACTAGAGGCCTGTGTCTCCCTTTTAATTCTTCCTGAAAACCTGGCCACTCCCTCTCAGGGTATTAACACATGGCATGGTATGAGTACACAGCCCTGCAGCTTCACATACATGACTTCATTTAAATCCTCTTACTCTGGTAGGTATGCCCCATTCTGCACATGGGAGAACTGAGGCTCAGAGAGGAAGATGGCTTTCTCAAAGTCACACAGCAGAAGCTGGACTAGAACTCAGGTCTTCTGCTCCAACTCCAGAAAAAATCCTGCCAGGATAGGCTCAAACCACATGCTCTTGACTTATGTATTGATTCTTCTTCTACACTCGAGATTCAATAGCAGGAGTTAGAATAGATATAGCTCTATCAGATAATTAGGAAAAATAGTTTGCCACACAAACTGCTAGTGATTATTATTCAATTGTCATTCAGTATCCACATGCCAGTTGGGGAAAAAATCCAGTTTGTTATAGTAGCTTGTGTTTTGTCTACTGCAGAAGTGGGTGACTCATTCATTTCTTCAACAAATATTTATTAAATGTCTACTATATTCCAGACTCTTTTACACACTGGGAAACATAACTGAGGTATTCCTGGGTGGTACAAATGGTTAACACACTTGGCTGCTAACCAAAAGGTTGGAGGTTTAGTCCATCCAGAGGCACCTCAGAAGAAAGGACTGGCAATCTACTGAAAAATCAGCCATTGAAAACTCTATGGAGCACAGTTCTAGTCTGACACACATGGGGTTGCCATGAGTCGGAGTCAGTCCAACAGCAGCTGGTTGCATATAACTGAACAAAACAGACAATAAGCCCCACCCTCTTAATGCAAATTAGGGGAGACAGACGATTGCTTGTGACAGAGCTGGTGATGGTGTGAGAAGGAGGGCCATCTACTGTATGCAAAGATTCGTTGTTATCAAACCTTATATTCTTGCAGTGAAATTTAGTGTTTATTGCTGTATACTCATAGTCATTTTCAAAAGCGTCTCTCTCTCTTTTTTTTAATTCCTGCAGAAAAATAACTTTTTATTGTGAATCTGAAATTTCCTAACTCCTACCCATCTTTTAGGTCCCTGGGGGGCGCAAAGGGTTTGCACTCGGCTACTAACCTAAAGGTTGGGAGTTCACATCCACCCAATGGTGCCATGGAAGAAAGTCCTGGCAAACTGCTTCTGTAAAGATTACAGCCAAGAAAGTTCTATGGAGCAATTCTACTCTGTGACACGAGGTCACCATGAGTTGGAACTGACTTGATGGCAGTGGGTTGTGGGTCCAAACAAAACAAACAAACGGATTCTATCAAGCTGATTTCCCCTTATTGCCTCAGAAAAAAAAATTTTTTTTTAATATAGAGGTTTGTTACTATAAGAGGTTTTTTATAATATAAGAAAGCAAAAGAGATCACAAATCTGTCATCTGTGGGCCCGAATCTGATTTATTATTGAGTTTTCATAAACCTACCTAGTGTTTGCAATTAAAAAAAATTCCTTGTTACGATTAAACATCACAGATCACACTCTGAAATTTAGATTTCTAGCTTCTCTTGAGTAATTGAAAGATTTAACTACATGGTGCCTGCATTTCTGCATGTCAACAACCAACCACAGCTGAGTGACAGGCATCTCATTTAGATGGGACATCTGCCTTCTTGTGTCACCACTGTCCCCACCTGGCCTGCTTCTATCATTTTCCTTTCCTGTCAATTTCCTAAAGACATGTGAGTTTGTTACCCTTCCTGAAAAGAATATGAAAAAAAAAATTTTTTTTAGTTGTTGTGAGGCTGTAGTGAGACATAAAATATTTCAAGTAAGGCATGAAAAGTTTCATGTAGGTTAAAAAATATTAGAAGCCACTTATAAATGGTAATGCTCTACCCATGGAGTTCAGGAAAAGTAGGTTAGTAATGTCAAAAAGTACAGAGAGGCCAAAGGACTTACATTTCCTTTACCAGTTACCCTTGGGCTTGAGAAAAGTGTAGTTGTTTTCTTTCCTTTTGCTGTTTTCAGTGATTAAGTCACCTTTTTTCTTGGTAGGTCAGTCCACCTGGGGTTCTCTGTTTGCCAGTGCTGAACATCCCAAGAACTGAATTCAACTATTTCACCGAGACAAAGTTTATTTTAGAAGAGCTAAATATCTCTGAATCATTCCATATATTCCGAGATGAAATTAATCTGCATCAGCTAAATGATGAAGGGAAGTTATCTTTAACACTTGTTGGCAGCAACGTGCTGGCCAGGTAAGGCTCAGTGAGGCTCTGGAAGATCAGTTCTTTGATGAAGGCTCTTGTGGGCATAGCATCACCTTGTTCAGGAGTCCCTGGGTGGTGCAAACGATCAACACGCTCAGTTGCTAACCAAAAGGTTGGAGATTCGAGTTCACCCAGAGGTGCCTTGGAAGAAACGCCTGGCGATCTACTTCCAAAAAATCAGCCACTGAAAACTCTGTGGAGCACAGTACTACTCTGACACACATAGGATCGTCATGAGTTGCAAATCAACTCTACAGCAACTGTTTTTTGTTTTCTTTTTTAAAGGCAGAGAGGACATTTAGAGAAAAGGGAATATTTTTCTTTTCCTACTGTAAAGTTTCGGCTATTTTGATGCTCTGTTTTTACTTTTGCATTTCAGATATGGCATCTTTGAGTGGAAAGTTCTTATAAAACTGACCAAAATTAAAATTTTTAATGGACTAATTTCAGACATTTTCTTATTGCAGCATAGTCATTCTATGTATCAATGCTGAAAATATATAATGAAAACTGAAATTAAACACTAAATAAAATTGAAAGATTCTGAAGAGGGAAATCTCAATAGTGAAATAGAAACTTATGTAGAGACAGCTTATGAAAGTCACCGATCATTGGTTTATTCATTTGTAGCATTTTATACTGTAAGAGCTGCGAGGCATTTGTAAAAGTTCATGTGGTTCAAACTCCTTATTTTATGGACAAGAAACCTAAAACCCAGTGTCACAAATGACTTACCCAGAGTCCCACATCCACTTATTAGTAGAGTTAGGATAGTAGTTGGGTCTTCGGAGTCCTTCCATAAGGACATTAGAGTTACTATAAGAATCTAAAGGGACGTAAAGAGGAATAAAACAATTGCTCTGCCTTCCACCTCACAACCCAGCACAAAGATGCCCTTCTAGATAAACTTTCTGCAGCTACTGAATGAAGAGTCAGCACTTAAACAGTTCAGTAGTTTGTGATACGAGTTTTTTGCATAGTTTGCCAATTTGCTAACTGTTGATAACATTAACTAGTGGACACTGACTTGAATATCCATGAAATAAGAACTTGTGCCAGTACCTAATTTTTTTATTTAACCTTTTTAGGAAGTATGTTTAGGTCTGGATATATTATAATGTCATCCGTGCGGCTCATATAATTTTAAAGAGTTTTGAAAAATAATCTGTCTGTGCACGGCTGTTTTTGTTACCATGTTGTTTGAAACAAACGAAATTCTTTTGAATAATATTTATCAATCGTTAACAACCAGCTGAGGGTTATTGGTAAGTTATTTGGCTGACTTGAATTATCAGTATTCAGGACAATCACATGCTTGACTAAATTTATGTGTTAACTTTTTCAAGCCTTACTAATGCCGGTAGATCTGGATAAAGGCAATGTAAGAAGCCAAAGGAAAGAACTGTGAAACACAGTGTGTCGTTCAAAATCTTAGGAAGAATTTTGTTACCAATGAAAAAAGAAATAGGTATGCTGGTTTTGAGACTGAAGTTGTAAGTTCTGGCTTTGGGGTTATTTATGAAAGAGGAAGCTTTAAAAAAAATAAAATCGATATATTTGTTTCCCCCATTGCCGCTCATTTGTTTTTGACAGGCACAGAGAATAAAGTTAGTTATATCCATGGCTTTCTTCCTGTTTTTGAAAAAAAACAACTCTTTCTCACATAGAAAGAACAATGGTGGAAGTTAGTCCGGTAGTATTTTTTCTATAGCATAGTGGCTGGATGAATAAGTTTTGGAGCCACATTGTCAGAGTTTAAATACCAGCTAGTTCACACTTACTGGAGCCCTGGTGTTGCAGTGGTTAAGAGCTCGGCTACTAACCAAAAGGTCTGCAGTTCAAATTCACCAGCCGCTCCTTGGAAACCCTATGGGGCAGTTCTACTGTGTCCTGAAGGGTCACTGTGAGTTGGTGACTGACTCCATGGCAATGGGCTTGGTTTTGGTTAGTTCACTTCCTAGCTACATAACCATGGCCAAATTTCTTAACCTCTTTCTGCCTTAGTTTTCCCATTTTTAAAATGGGAATTTTAATAGAATCTATTTCACAAGATCATTTTACAGTATAAAACATGATGATACACCTAAAGTATTTATAACAGTGTCTAGCATGTAATGGAAGCTGAATAAATGTGATCTATTATTATTTTAGCCCCTGGGTGGTGCAGATGGTTAACATGCTCTGCTGCTGACTGAAAGTTTGGAGGTTCGAGTCTACCCAGAGATGTCTCGGAAGAAAGGCCTGGCAAGCTACTTCTGAAAAATCAGCCATTGAAAATGCTATGCAGCACAGTTCTACTGTAATACACATGGGGTCACCATGAGTCAGAATCAAGTCAATGACAACTGCTCTTATTGTTTTTATTATTATTATTATTATCTACCAGAGAAAGAAGAGATGGAGTTCCTAAGGTGTGAAGATATTCTAAGAATCTGGGAGGAGGGCGCAATTAGTTGAAATGAAATGTAGAAACACATTAAATATAGTTCTACTCTTCTGAGCCATTTGAACTTACTGATATTTTTGGCTATTGAGAATAGAAAAAGGATCGAGGAAGGCATTCGTGTGGAAGATTAAATAATTACAAAAAGTAAGAAGAAAACATGTGTCTCTGTCTCTCCCTCTTCTTCATGTGCTTTATAGTGAGGACAAAACTTTAGAATCAGCAGTTGTCAAAGTCATTAATCCAGTTGAGCAGAGCGACGCTGGACTTGAGTTCCAAGAGTCTTCCTCCTCCCTTGTGGTGAAAGAGATTCTCCAGGAGGCTCCCGAGCTCATCAACGAGCAACTGGCTCATCTCCTCAGAGGTGAGAGATGACTCTTCCTGGTAAATACTAGAAGGCTTAATGGAGTGCTGCCCGACCTGCTCATGCAGAAAGAGCGCGATCCATTCTTGGGTTAACAATCCCTTTAGAGACCACAGGAAGCTTCATCAGAGAAGCAGGGAGTAAAGAGTTTGTTAAAGAGTAGCATTATATTGAATATTAAAAATGTGCATTTAAAAATAGGCACAAAAGATCTTTGCTGTCTCACTAGACAAGAATATTAAGTGGAGCTGCAGCACCTCAGTTGGGGAGCTGGAATAGCTCCTCTGGCCATTTTAACAGCTTTAACAGAGATGATTCTTGTCCTGTGACAGTGTGAGCATGGTCCAGAATTCCACGTTCCCACATTGAAATATCCCCTGACAATTATTCATGTTTGGCTTATATAATACTGCTTGTAGGGCAAAATACACACCTTTCCTTTTGATGACATTGTGTCAGGGCTTTTAAAGTCAAATTGTCACCTTCTTCACCACCATCTTGTAACATATTCCATCCTCACTCAGCCTCCTTGAAGCACTGGGGGCACGAGCATAGCATCATAAATTATTCTGTTAATCTTTTTTCATCAGTGGAGCCATTGCTTCCAAAGAGTGGTTTACAAGCTGGAAATGGTCAGTGCCAACTTGACTTTGGGGCCAGCTTCCCACAAAAAATTCAGTTCTTCTCTCACTCAGGACACTGTTTTGATTTTGTATACAATTTCTTTTCTTTTAACAACCTATCTTGCACGTGGTAGAAATGAATTTTCTCAGAAGTATTTAACAAAGGAAAATGAAAACAAATAATAGACTGAAACAATTAAAAAAAAAAAGATGGAGAAGACAAAGAATGTGTTGACTCAACTCTTGTGGACTCTTTCCTTCACTCGCCTTGTCTCTACCACAACGTGGAGGAGAAAGTATCCAAGAGTTATGTAGTTCCTGTAAATGTTTTAGAACTAATGGCTCCAGTAAACCTGCCCTTAAATATTTTTCTGGCTATGGATGTCTGTAAAAATGTCTACATGTGACTGTGCCCTCAGCTAAACTAAGTAAGCACATTTCATCTATCTTTATGACAGCAGAGGAAGAATAAATGTAATTGGGGATCTCAGTCAAGGGGGAAGTTGTTTGACAGCACAAATGTATGGTGCAGGCAAACACTAGAGATTATTGCATTTAAATATTTTGCAAACTAAGAAGTTTAGTGTGTTTTTAGAAAAATATATGTGTTGTTTTGTAGGAAAGAAATGCAGTCAATGAATAGCTCATCATCATGATTTTCTATAATATCAAACTGTAATACATTGGTACAAAGATTGACTTTGTTGTTGTTCTTGATGATGATGATAATACTCAGATTCAGCGAGTTAGAAGGGATGCAGACACTTTAGTTGGTTATCTTGGTTTTAGTTTGCAGAGTTACTAAGAGTTAGCGCTACGGCAAAAGATCTTGCTTTCTCATAACGCTGGAGGTCTTTAAGAAGGTAAGGCATTAGGAAGCTGACACACTGTGGATATCACCACATGGTCCCTTGGAATATGGGATGTGAGAGGATAAAGGGCTCTACCCATGAAGACCACCGCCCATATGTCAGTTTGTCATACTGTGGTGGCTTTCACATTGCTATGATACCGGAAGCTATTCCACTGATACTTCAAATACCAGCAGGGCCACCCATGGTGGACAGATTTCAGTGGAACTTCCAGGCTAAGACAGACTAGGAAGAAGGTCCTGACAATCTACTTCTGAAAATTAGCCAATAAAAACCTAGGAATCACAACAAAATATTGTCTGATGTAATGCTGGAAGTTGAGCCCCTGAGGTTGAAAGGCACTACACAGTAGCCAAGGAGCCCTGGTGGCACAGTGGTTAAGTACGCAGCTGTTAACTGAAAAATGGATGGTTCAAACCCACCAGTAGCTCCACAGGAGAAAGATGTGGCAGTCTGCTTCTGTAAAGATTACAGCTTTGGAAACCCTAGGGGATAGTTCTACTCTGTCCTATAGGGTTGGTATGAGTCAGAATCAACTCAAAGGGAATGGGATGGACACAGTAGCTGCAACAATGGTCTCAAACATACCAACGATCATGAAGCAGGCACAGGAGCAGGCAACATTTCGTTCTGTTATACGTAAAACCTGCAAAAGCTGGAACCTGTTTAAGTGGAAACCTGCCAGAGAAGGAAAACTCACATATTTTCCACTAAATCGAGAGCAGTAGAAAAGTGGTGACTGCACCCTGTCAAAGGTGGAAAACTTGCGAGACCTGGAAAAACAAGGCAGTTCTGTCAAGTTCCAGCTCTCACAGGTTTCACTCTACATAAGGTCACCGTAAGTCAGAGCTGACTCGATGGCAACTAATAACAACCACCCCTGAAGACTGCCAATACAGATACTGTCATGAGAGAGGCATATTTCCCTACAGGCTCAGAGGTAGAAGATCTGGGTGACTTGTTACAGTGGAAAGAGGGCTAAGGAGACCTGTGGCCAAAGAGTGCGTGTGTGAGTATATGTGTGTTTATGTACGTGGAAGACAGAAGGATGGTGATCCAAGGGATTTTGGCTTTAAAGAGAGGTGTGAAGAGTTCACAGGCAAGAAGCATTTTTAGGCAATGGGCCAATTTTCAAAAGTTCCTAGTTCTTTAGTAAATATAAGAAAGGGATTGAGTCAGATTTTGCTGTATTCTAAACTCAAACTTAGATTTCATAGTTTTCCAATCATGTATTAACACCAAACCTAAAAGAATTTGTTTTTTATGTTCCTATAAATAGTAATTTTAACATTTTTATTTGCATAATATGAATAGGTCCCTTTTTAAGGAGTATGGTAAGCAGCTGTGATGTTCCTTAGTAATTTGGGGTGCTTTAAGTGATCATTAATTTGTCATGGACTTCGAGAGCATGGAGGTACTCCTCTAGGTCTTGAAGGAATGTGCAATTTTTATGCACACCTCTGCCATCAGGAATTTTGAAAAAATGTCTGTTACCAGATGTCGTGAGACTAGATATTTATGGGTGAGACTTAGAAAAGTCTTTAAAAGCATCATAATTAGACCTCTATGGAGGATATATTATTATAAACTTGGTACTAAAAAAAAACATAAGAATTTACTATGAGCTAGGTACTTAATCAGTCTGATTGTTCTTTGCCTCTCATTCCCACGATCATATCCTAGAGTATGTCACACTGAAACACAGTGGTATGCTGTAAAGGGATTTCAGGTGGGCCAAGATGTTGATGCCCTTCAGTTCTTGGAGGGAAACCCAAGTATGCCTCTTAGCTTACTATGCAGTAAAAAAAAATTTTTCAGTGTGAAGAATTTTCCATGTGTTCCTGAATGTTAAAAAGGTTGAGAAGCATGCATTACTACACTACCTCCAAAATTTCCAATTCAAGTGGCCTACCCTTTGCTGGCCACATCTATCCTTCCAGATCTTCTGCTCTAGCATGTCCACTCCAGCATCTCTTCCACCTCACTGAGGGCTCCAATTCAAAGATTTTGCCACTTCTTCACTGTCAGCCATGATCCCTTAAGGGATTTACTTCCCTCCTTATCAGGCTTGAGTCCCTGGTATTGTAATTGGTCAAGCGCTGTACTACTAATGGAAAAATTGGCAGTTCAGATCCACTCAGAGGCATGTCGGAACAAAGACCTGGCAATCTACATCTGAAAAATCAACCATAGAAAACCCAATGGAGCACAGTTCTACTCTGACACCTGGGGTTGCCATGACTGCGAATTAACTCGACGGCAACTAGTTGGTGGCTTTATCAGGCTTAGATTCTGTGGTCTTCATTGTGATTATTCACTTTGAACACACTTTACTCCCTCCCTCTTCCCCCCATTTTACTTGCCTGGCAAAATCCCAACTCTGGGGTAAACATCTACTCCTTGCCTGCATCCAACCAGCCAAATACTGCTTGAGAAAAACCAGGCAGAATAACGTCCCTTTTAATTTATGGAAACACATCTTAAATCAGCATGCAACATTACCCAAAGAAAAGTTATGGTCCCTTTTCTGCTCTTCAAAATGACACTTTAACACTTTGTCCTGTATCCTCAAGCCTTCTTCCCCCTTCTACTGCCTGCAAATGAACTGCCTCATCCTTCTTGGAGAAAATAGAAGTCATCAGATAGGAACTTCCTCATGTTACCGTCCCCTAAATCACAAATCTACCAACATCTCTATCCATCATCCCCTCTGATGTTATGGATAAAGTGTTCTTATCAGATATGAACGCTTTTTCTTGTGTTCTGGATCCCTTCCCGTCTTTCCTTTCTAGAACTTTGTGCCCACAATTATCTCATCTTTCTCCTACAGTCTGCTTCATCCATCTCTTCCTTTCTACCAGAATCTTCCTATTATCATTCTTATCATCCAATAAGTATCTCCTAAGAAAAGCAAACAAACAAGAACTCAAGCTTTCTTTGACCCAGGTTACCTCCCAGCCATGCCTCCTTTTCTCTTCTTTTCGTAGTAAAAACCCTTGGAAGAGGTGTCCATGCTACTGCATTCACTTCCTCACTCTGCTGTCTCCTCTGCCTGTCCCCAATCAGGCTTCCATCCCACCCACTCCTCTGAGATTTTTCCATGAGTCACCAATTGTCTCCATGTTGCCAAATATCGATGGTGGCATTTCTTTTTTTATCCTCCTTGACCCCTTGGTAACATTTAATGCAGTTGGTCATCCCTGTCCTTAAAATTGTTTCTTCTCTTGGCTTCCGTGCACCACAGTGTCCTGGTTTGCCTTTTACCCTGCTGGCCACTCTTCCTCAGTCTTGACTGTTAGCTCCTTCCTCTGCTCAGCTTCTAAGAATTAGAAGTTTGTCTTGGGACATTTTTTCCTCCATCTATGCACTGTACTCGGAGCCCTGGTGGCGTAGTGGTTAAGAGCCCATGCTGCTAACCAAAAGGTAAGCAGTTCGAATCCGCCAGTCGCTCCTTGGAAACCCTGTGGGACAGTTCTACTCGTCCTGTAGGGTTACTACGAGTTGG